ATTGCTCTCTTGCTAGCTAGTCTACAAAACTTTACTTCTCAGGTTTTATTTAAGAAGAAGTAGTGGTATAGCAAAACAGAGGTGTGATTTGCACATGGCCGCCAAAAGTTTCAGTAGTCTCATTAACTACATACAACAAGTACACTGTACACCATTTGTGACTACTCACCAGTCTACCAGTCTCTTCCTCCTTCCCAGGTGAAAAACTTAAATAAGGACCACTTTTCTCTCTCCAACCAACCAACCCACGCCATTGATCTTGAATTCTTGATCACTGTTGTAAAAAAGTACTATTGAGCGTGTGTAGACTGTAGACTAGAACAGTAGACTCAACTCTCAAGATGACTGTGCCTTTGGGATTGGTCACAAAATAGTGATCAACAAGAAAGAAACAAAAAATAGTGGGTGAGAGAAGTTCGAACTCTCGACCTCCGGATTACTCAGATAGCTATAAGACCTACGCGCTAGCCAACTGCGCCACCGCCCCTTTTGCTGTTTACATTGGAAAAATATATTATAATGTTAATTTGTTGTTGTAAACTTCTCCCATGGATGTATAATTGTATATAATCCTCAGGTCAGGAAGACAGGAACTGCATGGACATTAGCCATGGTTGATATGATGATCTACCCAATGTCAAAACCACCCTGACCAAAAATCATTATCGGACCATATTGTGACATTGTGTCTAAGCAGTGTTATAGACTAATAAAAGACTAATTGTCTGTAAAATAAAGCATTAGGATGAATTTTTGTTCAAAAGTGACTAGAGCACATGCTTGTTCCTAAATGCTGTCTTGTTCAAATTTCTCATATAAGGATACATTATAATCTGATCTAGCAAAACCCAGACGCAGTCATTGTTGTTCACACTCACTGGTTTGTCAGTATTAGTTCTTATATACAACACATTTAACTAATGAGCTCATGGCAGTTTCATAGACTACAAAGGGCAACAGGCAAAGCTGCAAGGAGATGGTGCATCTTTCTTTGTTCTCATGACAGAGTGAGGGGCGCTATCAATCCACCTATAGAGCCAGCTTTTAGTGAAGATCTTTAGGTTGTAGCATAAACAAGAATATCCCACCGGCAACAGAAACATTCAGTGACTCGTAGTCTCCTGCCATTGGTATATTAATAAGTTCACAGACCTGTTCAGATTGCTTTGAAATACCATATCCTTCACTACCCAATACCAAGCACACATGTTCATCTACTAATGAATCTGCAAGCTTTTGAGAGAATGAAGAAGAGCTTTTTACTCCAGAATTACTCTCTGGGTGGCCTGCCAACATCTTCATTTGAAATCCCTTTCTTAGAATATCTAACTGATCCCAATTACCAGAAACAATGGGAAGCTGAAAAGCAGAACCACGACTTGCTCGAAGTGCTTTATCATTGAAAGGATCACAGCAACCAGGAAGCAAAAATACTCCATCCTATAACCATACGAATTATAATCAGTTAACCTAGTAAGACACCACTAGAATGGTATAGAAAACATTTTGCAATATGGTATGCAAATGTAAACTAATCCACATGTGCATTTAAGTTCTCATCTAAGCAGAAAATATATTAAAATTAAAAAATTATCTGAATTTGGATGGATTGGAACATGTATAGCTCAAACTTCACAACAAGAAAATTATGAAAGAGCACAGGCATCACATGCATAGTGAGAAAATATAGAGGAAAAGCATGGTCGATATTCTATAGGACCACAACATATTACAATAGACTTACTGACAATCACCATCAATTGCACAGACTCGGATATAACTATGGAAGCCTGCCTATCAGAGGCATTTAACAGAAACAATTTGGACAAAAAGTGAAGAACACATTATTTACAAAGATTATTGGACTAAAAATCCCCCAGTGAACCGTTAGATGGTCTGCATGGTTAAGGATTTCAACATATTTATGGCATTCATCTTATATAAAGGTTTTTTTTGTTTTTCCACTTTGGATAAAATTTATCATATGCCTTGCTATATAATGTAAGCAAGTTAATTAGTGAACAAAAAGTTGATGCATCATTACGAGAGGGTAAAGTCATACACATCAAAGACAGGAAAAATCATAGTAAAAGAAATAATACCCATCTAAAGGCCACAGCAGATCTCAGTAATGTACCAAGGTTACCTGGGTCCTGCAGTAAGCGGAAGTCAGGAATTAGCAACAAGAACAGTTTGTAAAAATCCTTAAATGAACAATGGGATGGCGATCTTAAATAACCAAACTATTAAGCAATGCATGCCACTCTTGACTAAATGAGAAAATTCTAAACTTAGTAATCCAAATCTATTACAACGTAATACTTTTCTCTATATCCAAGCACAGTTTCCATTTTTTTAAATTTGGATTTTAGAACTGAGAGTTTATAGATGTTTCTCTGACAAGAAAACATACATTAGGCAAAAATGTTTTTGGATATAAAACTTCACGAACAGAAGTAAAACATGTCCCTTAAAGGAGAAAACTTAGACCCTGTCTCGGAAGGAAAGAATCAAGGGAAGGTATAATGTGCAAAAGTACAAAAAGAGAAGGAATCCCCCTAGGTATTGACAGTTTAAGAATGTGAACTGTACCTGGATCCCGTCAAGGACTAGAACTCTATGTGGAAAAGGGAACCATCTCCTGAAATCCTCTTCTCTTTGGTTGCCATCCACATGGCAGAAGCTATTAGGAATTTTCAGCAAAGCTACTGCCTCAATGGAATCGATTGATTGCATCCCACAAAGTTTTTTCATTACAACAGAGCTTACACGGACAATACGATCAGAGAATTCACACATTCCTTTCGGAACTTCAGCACCATCAAGTAAAAGCAAACAATTAACTAAACTGGATTTTTCTTCAATTACGTCTTGGAATTTGGTTATTTCCCTGATAAATTGTCATATCAGAACTAAAATTGTCTGCAAGTGTATTGTTATAACTTATATTCTGTTTACCATTGATTAAAAAACATAATGCTTTTAGGAATTTTAGGGGTCACAGAATGCCAGAGAAAGTAAAAAAATTCACGAGAGCAATCTTATAACATAAACATGTGCTAAGAAAGGCCAGCCATGCAAAGAATATTCTATTTTTTTACTTCATGCAAAGTTTAGCTAAAAGTTTGGCCAAAACAGATTAAACTTTGAAAACCGGGCTTGACATTAAGTAATCATCTCTGTATTCAAGAATCAAGATCACAATTTTGGCCACAGCCTAAAAAGTGTCCTTTTCAGTGTAGTGACAGCAAAACTGAGACTTTACAGTTTAGGATTCTTACCAAATTTTATTCAATTCAATTATGGGCAAAGTTAGTCACTAAGAGTCATTAGAAAATTTATGTCCCAATCATACTCAACTAAAACTATATGATTTTAAATAGTCTAATACAATGATCACTAATTTTGAAATTTTGTTAATTGACAAATGACAATTCAACCTCAAACGGTTTGACAAGAGGAGTGTTCAATCAAAGAACGAAGTTGATAAGAACCTTCTGGAAATGCCAGGCTGTTTGAAGGAGTACAACAGCTAAAGGGTTCTGAGATACTCTGCACATCTAGCAAATAATTACAATTTATATACCATACAAGGCTTATTTTCGGGAAGCACATTGAACATCAATGTCACATATGAAAAAATTTTCCCAAAAGTCTAGAAATTTCATATTATATAACTCAAGTATGAACCAGAAGAGATTTAGAAACAGGAGTTATCGTAAATTCGTAACCTTCTTTCTGCAACTCCAAAACCTAAATGAAGGAATGGAGCTTAGAAGATGATCTCAGCTTGTATCGACTCACGCTCATATGGATGAAAGAATGAATGGGGGGTGGATGAATTTGCAATGAAATCTGTATTAGATAAAGGAGCAGAGAGATGGGCAGAACTTAGATGACTAGTATGAACATGTAATGAGAGGTGGCGCAAATATACAACACAGACCATTTACAGCTTTATGGGTCGTTCTGGAACCTCAGTTGTACTGTCTTCTGATATCTATTAGCATAAATCAAAGAAGGAGAGGTTTGATGGCTTATATATCCGTCAGAGCTGTCAGAATTCATTGCACAAGCTAGAATCTCCAAGCAATCGTGACAGAACCATGCTGGTTACACATAAAGAATGGTATAACACTGGAATTTGTAGTACCTGGCCTGTGTTTCTTAATCCATGCCTGTAATTTTAGTTGTTATCATTAAATGTATGTCTTGTCCTTACCGTCTTTCTGGGGGTAGCACATGTACTCTCACCTTGTGCTTATGGTCATATATACCACTTCCATAAATGCATGTATGATACTGCATTTTGTCGGATTTTGCGACGCATATTACAACATGTTCGGAGATTAAGCAAAGAATGGTTGGTAGAGGTTAACTTAAGCTATTGTTCCAACCTGAACATAATTCCTAATAATGTTTCTAGCAGCATATGAACCTATGAGAAAGAGAAAAAGCACGGCTTAGCTCATCCACTATAGTATCCACATTGAAGTGATCTATCTTTGAACTAATCAAGAATCCATTACAAAGTGGCAATTGGATTACAAACATAATATAGATCCTATATAGCCCCACCAAAGTTACGAAGATTGATAGGGGGAATACATAAGATATCGAGATAATCATGACAGAACTTACAAGTCTGTGTTCCCTTTATCTCATTTTAAAGTACATCCATCTTTAACTCGCCTGCATTTCTCACTTCTATCGATCAGCAATCTAAATATTTAACTTTTCTTTCCCATTCTATATCCAATATCAAATTCCAGAAAAAAAA